TGGGGGGGGGGGGGGGGGAGATGCAGAGTGACAGATCCAAGCTAAAATCTGTCAAATATATCATCTCTTCAAGTAAGCATCACTAGGAAAATGAGAGACAGACTGACGATTGGTTGAACTTCCCTCAACATGTACTCCTGGGAATAGAGAAAAAGACACCAAGGACTGAATTAAACAAAAAGAAAAGGAGAGAGAAAGAAGAAACATTATTAAAACTGTTTGAACAGTCTTTGAACTGCTGGAAAGATTTGCCCTCCAAATCACTTTCTAAACTTTTCCTATAACTCAGCAGCTGCATTTCTCACAGCTCATCTCAGAATGGACCAGCAGAGGTGACTGGGCATATAAGAATAACACTGACGGGGAAGGTATGTATGGAAGGTGCTAATCTTTTGTCATGTGTATAGGTATGTAATCATTTAGCAGATAATTGCCAATTTTAAAAAGGCAGTCATTCATTTTAAGACAAAGACCAAACTTACTGTTGCCATGAAGCTCTGAGCAGTTTATAGTTTAGCTTTAGTGCTCAAAAAATCCTCAGAATTAAGGTGAAAGGTATTCAGCTGATGTAAATCAGCATAGCCCCGACTTCCTTGAAAATCAGACTGCAACCGAGCATCAAGTGCTCTAACTTTCTGTCTTCTGAGCTCCTCTGCCACTGCCACCAAATGGTAATTGTCCTCCCTCTAGACAGTCACTGCATCGATAAGACAACTGAAGGTGAAATAGAAATCAATCTGCCTCTCATTAGTGAGAGGAATAGAGGTATGCTGGGGAGAGGGATCGATGAAAGGGGGAGAAGATGTGTTAAGAACTGGTTAAAAGAGGGATTGAAGGAGGAAGTTAATACTTTTCAGATAGCTCAGAGTTAACTTTCGACTACTTCTGGATAAGTGTCTCACATGAACAGTGTTATATACATTCTGAATATACACACTTCTAGATAAAATGAGTTCAGGGAAGATGTGTTAGTCTATGAAGTGTGGCAAAGGTGTTTTTATGTCCTCAGAGATTTCATAGAGTTTTAAAATAAGAAACACACATTTTTCATGCAATGAGCACCAGAGTATACAGATGTACTGAAACTGAGCCACTGAACATGCACAAACATTCTACAGATATAGGATATGTGTGTGCATTTACACTTGCCTGAACTCAGACACACGCAAGCACACACAAATAGCATGCATACAATTGCATGAGAGCCACTTATACTTTTTTCCCTTTTAACTTCTAGGTAGCATATTCCTATATTTGCAGTCCAAATTACTTGAAAAGAGTAAAATATGATTTGTCTATAAGCACAAATAGAGATAAGGAAATTTTTCACTCCAGAAGTAATGATAAATTTATTATTGAAGAAGTTCTGGAATAGCTAGTGTGGACACAAGACATAGTATGGCTGTGCTGCTGGGATGCCACTTTTCTCAGGCCGAGCACCTTGCATTTTTCACAACACAAATATGGCATTGCTGTTTCTGGGACATGGGCCAGCTCATTTAAATGCGGCACTCAAGAGATGGAGGAAAGGCAATTTGCCACGACACCTTTTCCATCTTGCTGCCTAGCTCACTGCTGCAGTTACAGATGGCCAACATTTGTGTCTTAAACATTTATCTTGCAAAACATAGACTTTTGTATAAAAAGTATTTAGTGCTGCAAAATATTTCCCTTAAATTTAAATTTTCATCTTGTTTCAATTTTTAGAAAACATTTTGAAATTTCAGATGTTGTTTTTTCTCCTTTTCGTCACCTTCCTTCTGTCTCACACTCTGTTTCTGAACACAGTAGATGTTTGCCAAGGTTGGAGGATTTGGGGGGGGTTAATTTTCTTTTTTTTTTCCCATACTTTGTAATTATTTAAAGCTTTATCTATACTGTTAGTGAAGTGCATTTGGAGTTTGACTAGCACAGGTTCTCAGCATCCTACTACGCCTCCTAATAAATAAGCACGAGGCAATTAAGTTATATTAGAATCCTCTCTGTTTCTCCCTTTCCACCTCTGTCAGTTTTCAGAAGCTTGTAACACTATAGAATGAGTGTAAAAGTAGGTAAGTATTTTTTAAAATTTAGACATTGGGGTTTTACTTGCAGTCAGTGGCAGATGGAAACTATTATTGGGAAAGAAACAGAAGTGAAAAATTTTACAAATATCTTGGGCAAAAGAATGCACTTTGTCCCAGTTTGAACTCTGAAATACATACAGCTTCAAAATGAAATGAGTCTTTAGAAGACTTCACTAATTAACTCTGTGCCTTGTACACGCAAGTTGAGAGCAGGGTCTTGACAGGCTTTGGCTGAAAAGCAGGGTTTCAAGTTCACAAGAAACCAAGAAACCTCATCTCTTCACAGTTGGGCTGCATCCTGAGTCAGACCGAAATGAGTGGCTTTCAAATTCCTGGTGAACAGGAATTTCTGAGAATATTTTCTTATTTCACCCGAACATGTTGCTTCTAAAATAAAGCCTGTTTCCTCAGAGCTCCAGACTCTTAGGCCTGCAGCAGTCCTCAAGGAATCAAGATGTACATGTTTTGCTGCTGAGTGTATTTGAGAGGTACCAGTATATTTTTTGATGGAATTTGTTGCCAGGCTCAGTGGCAGTGTATAGAATTCAAGATGAGTTCCTTCAGCACAGTAAATCTGTATTTTACCATTTTGATTTCACAGAAAAATGGAGTGGCTCGAATTAGTTCCTGTATGTTTAGAATAGCCAAGATAATTGTTTAAAGATTATATTAGAAATTCTGACTAATTTCAAGGCTCACACTGAAGTCTGTCTCCTGCTTTTTGCAGGTGAGTTCACTGTTTTATAATGGCACAAGGTATTATGTGAAAAGGGATGGATTTGAGTCATTCTAAAAGGTTTGTAATAATAAGGGCAAACCTTGTTAAGAGAAAGAGGTCATGCACCTAATGACAAGTATTTATTCCCCTTAGGTAAGCGCAGAGAAGTGTATCAGCTGTTTAGGGACACAAGACCAGGCTTTTATGTGGGTCTTACTGTGACACTCATGGATTAAGCTCTTTGAGAGCAGCTCTAGAAAGCTGCCGTTGCATTTCTTAGCATCTGAATGATAGTTATATACTACGTGTACAAGCTGGCTAATGACTGCTTTTGCCAGATTTTTACAAATTATGACTATTATGAGCAATTGATAGGTTTTTTTGGCCATCCATGTGAAGATAGGAAAGGCTGCCAGCAGCCTGACTCTTCCCATGGTTACAAACAGCAACCCGAGAGCGCCTGGGTTTTGTGCTCGGTTGGGTTACGAGCACAGGGTGGTCACCCCACCGGGAACGGCGGCAGTGGCCTCGCCGCGGAGCAGCACGGGAGGAAACGCAGAACAATCGGCAGGGAAATCCAACCCAAAATAACAAGCTGGCCTCCACCAAAGAAAGGTCAGTGCTTGAAAGCCACTATTTGAGAGCAAGGTTGGGGAGGGGGGGGTGTTGGTGAAAAAGAGTGAGCGAAGGAGACTCAATGCCTCTGCAGTTCTAAAGAATTCCTTTTTGTAAGCAAAACAATGCAGGAGAACAATGCAAATAGTTGCAGTGCTTTCGAGGCAGTAGATTAATATTTTTTTTTTCTTATAGAAAGTAAATTGGAACTGCTTCCATAAACAATAGGCATTGGCTGCAGAAGAAAGTGTGAGCTTTCGCAGAGATTTAAAAATAACCAAAAGTAAGGAGTGTATTGGCAAAGCGTTCTCTTTTCTCAGAATAGTAGGGAAAATGTGATGCAGCCTCAACATTTGAGGAAGAGAGGCTAAGAAAGCAGATTGGTAGACATAATGTGGTAAACTTCAAATCTGCCAGATTTTGTTTTAGAACCCAGTGTTTGATAGGTTACTTCATGTTGCGAAGAGTGAAACGGATTGCAGGCTTTGCCAACTCTTTCCCCAAACATTTAAAACCTTTCAAAATATTGTTCTCCAGTAGACCAGTCTATTCCAACAAATTATACTGCCATGTACTGTGTCCCAACTCAGTTTGGTGCTTAAAGCTGCCCATAACTGAATATTCATGAATTCCAGGCAAAAATCATGGTTTGCTACATTCATGTAGTACCTGGCACAGGGTGCGAGAGCACAGCACAAATAAAAACCCCAATGCATTAACCCCAGCAGCTTTAACTTTTTAAAAGCATGTACTTTATCTAGCACTAGAAAAAAAAAGTTATGTTGTTGGTGTTACCTGATTCCTGACCTCTCTAATTACACTAGTGCTAGCATTATGGCAGCTGCAGTTCTGCTGCTGGAGAGGGTTGTTGTACTGGTAAAGCTCATTTGGTTTTTATGAATGAAAATAAGCTGCCCCGTATGCCCCAATATATAGCAGTAAAACACTGGCTGCAGTAAAGAGGATTTGGTGCTTTAAAGCAGTGATTTCTTTTTATTTTAGTGTAGACGTGTCTCCAATGAGGTAATTGTCACAAAAATGTCAATATTACAACCAAAAGGCCTTTATCAGATAGATTATGAGAAAAGACACACAAAGATCTTTTTGTGCTGTCTGTGTCGATAAATGTAAGTTTAATTACACAGTATAACTTTCAGTTAGACTAAGTGGCTGTACGCTTCTTTATTTCCTTCTCCCATTAGAAATATAACATTGCTGAGAAACAGTTGAAGTTTATAGGGATTTCAATATTAGTGTCCACCTTTCCTGTCCCTCATGGTTGCACATCAGTCTGTACATTTTAGTTTTCCTTTGACTTTTGGGGTTGAACTACTTTGAAGTTTGGAATGACTTAAAATGACTTTTGGGATACATGTCTTGTCTTGTAAAGTTTCCTGGCAAACTGCTTGCCTGCACCAGTGAAAGCTCACAGCAACTGGCCATCTGAACCTACACCATCAAGCTTTAAGCAGAGCAGAGATGACTGTTACTATGTTTCTTTACTATAAACCTCAGATAAAGGGATTCAGAGACCCCCTCTCTCTGAGGGGATGTTACACTGCACAATTGGCTCAAATCCTGGCCCCAACTGGTCTCCTGGCCAGAGCAGCCCTTAAATTCAGGATCAGACCCTTTGGTCCCCTCAAGTTAGAACAGAGGCCTCCCCCAATGTCCCTCCCTCAGGTCTCTATGGGATGGACACATGTACAGCCTTCCTCCTTGGGAGACAGGAGAGAAGCTGGGCTGTATTGCTGTTAGTAGAAAATTTGGGCAGAACTGCTCTGTCAAAATTTGTGATTCAAGTGCAGGCTTCAATGGCAATGCTAACACAGTCAAAATGGCTCACTCAAATCTCTTCCAGGCTGGTATGGCCCATGCTGATAGGTGGATGTGCAAAAGCCTCTGTTGACCAGGGCAGTGGTATCAACCCAGGACCAGATGAACACCTTTTCACAGCATGGATGGTGACTGAACCAGCCCCAACACGTGTAAATGGTTCTCACCATCTTAACAGTCAGGTGAATTATCCAGAGACTAATGAGCATGTGCTCATCATAATCAGAAGGCCTCCAAATCTTTAGGGCTGATGATCTCGCACCTTCAGAGACATTTTTTTTTTTTTTTTTTTTTTTTTTTTTTGAGGCATATAATTGTGTCTCAAACAGACAATATACATCTTTGAGGTCCCTGGCCACCATGCAAAGTGCATTATAAACCTGGCAGGTAATCCAGCTGGTGTGAAGAGGGCTGCAGGTAGGTAGCAATCAGGAAAACACAAGGGTTTCAGTAGTTTCTGAAGCCTCAGGAATAGGAAGGTGTCATTGAACTAAGCAAGAGCAAGCACAGTCATACAGAGGACTGGCTGTTATGATTTATAGTAGCTTTGGTGATTAACTGTAACAGTAGGGTAAAGAGCACTGTACAGGAGACAAATAACTCTTTATGTAAGACATGACCCAGGGCACCATGCCAGGCTATCACTTCCAGATTTGGAAGTATTCAGTGTTTTCTATGTCATTATGGAAACTCTTCAAAAAATAAAATTTCCTCTTCACATGTGAGTGACACCTGGTAGTTTGTACACTGCCACTGTGCTAACCTCCTCTCCTTCCCTCCCTACTTCTGTAGGCACAACAGCAGTAGGGAGGAGCTGATTTCTCCCCAGGGGTTGTGGCAGGGAACACAGCTGGCATAGATATCTCAGCAAGCAGTCTCCAAACTCCAGCAGAACCCAAGGTCTGTATACACCAGGACTGCTGGACAGGGCCTCTCGAAAATGTAGGCTGTAATGATTGAGACATAAGGACCTGACAGTGTCATCTCTGAGAACAGTAATGATTTCCATCCATTTCTTCTGTCTACACTTCCAACGCTCAATCAGACTAATTACTGCTGGGCCTTTGCCCATCATGTTATGAAATGCTTCAGAGGTTAAATAAAAATAAAAAAAAAAAAAAAAAGATCAAACTGTGGTCTAAACCTCAGGAAGAAGGCATTTGTCAGGACAAGCTTTACCAGAAATGGTATAAAGAATCCTTGTTTACTAAATCTTTTAAGTCTGTAGCTAGTTCAGAGACACCTCACAGTCCTCATTAGAAGAGCAAAAGAACAACAGAAAAGACCTCAGCCTAACTAATTAAAAGCAGTAGCTTTGTGTGCTGTGGCGTGGCAGACGTTTGTATGTTGGATTTTTCTTTTACATTTACCAATGGTAGACAAAAGTTCTTTCCAAGGTGATAATACTGCCCCTGTATTGAAATGTGAGCAAAGGGGAACTTTCTCCATTGGATCTGGATTTATTCCCAGCATCTGTAGACAGTGTTAACATAAAGTTAACACATGCAGCAGGTGAGTGTGTCATGAGCTACCATGAGTGATAAAAGATCTTAAGACAGTTAGAAGGCAGTTTGCTCTTCAGCATAGATTTTTTTCTTTTTCCTTGATGATGTATTCTTGAAGTATGTGAGATCAGCAAAGAGTTAAAATAGCATTGTAGTCCCCTGCACAGAAGATACACAGGGAAGTGAAGCAGCTGAATTGTGACATTCACCTGAAACACAACTAGGAGCATCAGTCAAGCGAAGAGAATGGAGCATTTAGCAGACATGGTAATAATGGCAACCAATATCACCCTTTTCCTAAGAACAGAGGTGGGTCTGGGGATGATCACCTGGAGGAGATTAAAGTTTCTTACAGCCTAGGTCTCCTCTCTGACCCACAGCTGTTGTGATACCTGCCCTGGGATGGCCACCACTCACTGATTTCAGTGAAAATTGTGTACAACCACACTGCAATATCTCTAGCTTAGATCTCACTGAAGCATGGCTTTGGCTCTCGGGCATCTCTCCCCTACCCATCCCTTCTATAATTGCTGCAGAAGATTCATTATGAATTAATTCTTTCCACTTTTTTTTATTTTGAAGGAATACCAGTTGACATTCACAGCCTCTCCAGTGCCTCCCAAACTTTGGATTACACCCGAGTGTCCATTTTCACTGCCTGAATCTTGCCTATACTTGAGCTTAAGGGAAAAGCTACACATTGAGTTTTGGAGAAAAACACTGGAGCTTTCATCTGTAAATTCAGCTTGTGTTGTCTTCAAGGTTCGTTCATATTATACTTTTCAAGTAACAAAGCAACGTTGCTATTTATTAAAAACAATAGACCTCTCCTAATTTTGATGGAAAACCAATGGCAGAGGGGTGATGAACACTAAATATAACTCCCACATCTTCCCTGGGGCCTGGGCAGAGAAAGGTGGAGCTCAGCAGTGGAGTCTCCCTGATCATTCCACGGATATGAGCATCTGCAGCACCTGGGGTCCACGGCAAAACTCATTCCTCCAGAGGCCAAGAGCTGAGCCTACAGTTTTAGGCAGGGTAATCACCTTTCCGAGGCAATAGCAAGTATTTCCTGTGAGCAGATGCTTAAGATGGCTCTGATGCAGGGGCAAGAATTTGTGGTTAAAAGTTTGGTCTGTGAATCCAGCTTCTGCTCACAGCAGGGAAGAGACTCCTTTTGATAAAACACTAGTCTGACACTTTGTATTTTTTTTTTGTTTCACGTTTGTCTGTGTTCCCAACCTAACTGCCCCTTGCGCTATTATTTTGTAAACAGATATATAGGACATAAACGATGCTTATTCAGGGAGAGTCATATATTTAGGCTGTTTAAAATGTAGAAGGCGTGTTTTAAGGCCTGTAAACACAACGAGGCCAGACACTAATTGCTCCAGAGTTTGTACTGCAGTTATCCGCAGCGCTGACTTCTGCTCCTGTTACTAACTGTGCCCTGGGGTACTAAGCAGGCATGTTATGGGGAGTGAAAGAAGCAGGTCTGAGGAAGGTGTGCTGAGTACAGCCCAACACAGAGAGACCTTTTTCGCAGCCTGCAAACGCTGGCCTTGCATTACAAACTGGTCTGCTGTTGCCACCTGCTGGAAAAATCCTCATGTAGCCAAGGATGAGTGGTGAGGAGGAGCGTATGTTCTTAATACAGAAATACTAGTGTCTTTTCGTGCTTTTTAAGACAGGCCTTTTTTTTTTTTTTTTCTCCCCTGCAGGCCCTGTATGAGCTGCCAAAGAACTACGTATGCATCAGACACAGATGCACTTGAACACACGGCATCTGGGCAGGAACTGAACAGCTCTGGGGTCAGTTTGATTCCTCACGTACTTTTACTGCCCTCTGCACAGTAAAACACCTTCAAGAAGGTAAGAACAAAATCATTCCTCCTTGAAGTGCCTGCTACTAGAGATAAAAAAAACCCCTTTAATTCAAGAGGAAATTTCTCTGCTGTCAGATGTCCACAGACCTGTGACCTGTGCAATGCCAGCTCTGCATGTGTTCACACAGAGACCACACAAACCTTTACACAAGGAAGAGGCCTAAAGACCTTGTCCATCCCAGCATGTTAAATCTAGAATTTATATCTATTTCTACACTATGTTTTCACTTATTTCTTTCTTAAACTGTCATGCCAGGAGAAATATTTCTGCGGTCTGCTCCTAGGAGATTTTCAGAGGTACCGGATATAATTTTATTCTCCTTTTATTCACAGTAGGAGTCTTCAAAAATCCTTTCCTTTTCTTAAAGATTCCATGGCTAATCATTCTGTACAATGTAAAAGCACGTGATATTGTGGGACAGGCAAAATCTCTTCTGGCTTCCAAGCAGCCTTAAGACAGACAGGTTACTGGTTGCCACAGGCATTCTTAACACCATGTCATCAGGCCCCAATCTAATCTATGAGTTGTAATTGCCATGGCGTTAAATCCGTTGCTGGTGGCTGATCACCTCCAACTTGCAGGACTGCATGAATCTGAGCTGGTGCTAACAAAGGCAGGAATGTTTTAGAAAACGTCTCTGCTGGTGACAGGGTTTTGAAGTCTTATACTCAAAGCAGAAGTCAATGGGGTGTGAATCCATCCACACCAAAGCTGAGAATAACGGGACACTTGACTGTTCTGTCTCTAAACTCCACTTACACTACGTATCAACTGTCCTGTAACATGCCTTTCTATTCCAGAACAGGGGATATTTAAGGCTTAAACTGTGGCCAGAGGCGCTATGGACTTTTTTCAGGGAATTGTCACTGCCACTTTACCAGGTGGAGAAGTTCGAAAGGCAAGGCAAGATAGCCTAGACCCAAGACAGTATTGGCTGTGTTCATTGGCCTCTAGTTGGCTCAGCATGGGGACAGAGACAAGTTGTACATTTACAAACCTGTTGTTTAAAGAACCTCTATTAACCTTCACTGGCAGAACTAAGCATCTTCAATTATGCTGATATTGTCCTGATCCACTGGTTTCAAACTAACATGCACAGACCCCAAGCATCACTTCTTGTATGAAATAGCAAACACTCTGCAACCTCTGTGTCATGCCCTTCTGATCCCCATTCCTTTTTTTATCTTTTACTGCTGCTTTATGCTGTAGAAATCAAACAGTGCATCAACACTTCTGTTGTTTGATCCTACCAAGAAAGGTGATGAATGGACACTTGCTGCTCAGTCCACAAGAAGAATCTGTGACCTGCTTTTACCCTCCATGCAAGGACTATTTTAATCAATTCTCCATCCAAAAGCTCTGGAGCTACGTCTTCAGGGCATATGTATTTCTCCTCAGATGCCTACCTTGACATAGCTAAGATGCAGAGGGAAGGTTTAGAAGTATCAGCCCGTCTGCTGTTTTCAAGCTCCTACTTTGTGTTGGGATAACAATGTGTGCAAATGGACTTGGACAGGCTTTCAGACATCATCTCTCCAAGCAGGTTTGTTTCTTTTGATTAAGGGTGGCTTTCAAAAGTACTCCTAGCATGAAGTTACTTAACTGTTATGGAAAGTGGCCTGCCAGCTTCTATGAGTGGAAAGTCCCTCAGGAGTTCATTGTACCACTGTTAAGAACTCAGTGTTTAAACCTTGGTGCTGCCATGTTTGCTGAATGACAGTCTGAAAATGTCCTTAGAGCTAATTGGGTACCTGCTCTAATACTTCAGACCATTACTGCAAAGAAGTCGGGTGATACAAACCTACAAAAGCAAATTAACACTGGATAGCCTTTAGAAGGAATAGTTCTTTCCCTAGCACTGATTTATCCAGCTAGATTTTTGTAATATATAGGACAATCCATATTAAAAATATATATTTATATAAACTGTGCCAGGCATCCCTATTATGTTACATCAAACCTAACTGTTGTTGTGCATAAACAGTAAATCTATAAGCAAGGGTCTCTGTGTGCAATCAAAACCCACTTCCACTTAAAAAGCTTTAGGTGTTTCATCAAACCAACTGCTCTGAGAGAGACCACAGAGGTAAATAAAAACTTCATAAGGTATCTTTGCTAGGTCTGCAGTTTAAGCATGTTCTTCTCATTGTCTGATATTCATCATAACAAAAATTAAAGGATAAGAACTTCTGTGTGCACAATTTCCACTGAAACTGCCTGTTTCTACTTCTACCATTGACGAGTTGTTTAGGCTGCCTCAAGATGACCTCTGAAAAGACACAATCTTTCACACACCTGTAAGAACTTCTTTCTTTACAAAAGATATCTGTTGTCTAAAAGAAGAGAATGGAAAATGAAAGAAAGAATTTCTAACTATGGAAATCATAGTTTTGTTCCTCCAAAAATGCAATGCCCCCACCCCAACAAAATCCTACTTTCCAACCTGGCAGTACTGGCCCACATAAATTAAAGAACTGCAGAGAGGTTCTCTCTTCCTGTAAATTCTTGTGCTGAAAATCTTGGTGATTGAGTTTGCAGTGTGTCAGTAAACTGTTGTAAATTAGCATTGACTACTAAAATTTAATCCAAACCCCAGTGACTATCTGACAGGATGGAGTTGTTCAAGAGGACCATAATTCAAGTGACATAAGCAATACAGAAAAATAAAATATCTAACATGCTTTTGTTCTGGACTTTGTGTCTGTAACTGTCTGGACTATGTATCCAAAAAATCCATCCAGTATCTGATGACTCTTGTATGTGCTTGAACATGGGTCACTGCTCTGGGCTGTAGGAATTTAATTCTCCATGGAACCTACCCCACTGAAAAGTGCAGGGACCAGTCACCTTCTCTTCTCCCTTGTCCTTCCTCAGTCTCAAATATATAGGGTATTTGGCAACATCTGTTAGTTGGTTTAGTTGTGTCCTATTCTGTTTAAGCTTTTGATTACTGTTATGTAAGATCTGGACAACTTGTCTGCAGTTTTATGTAGTGCTTTTCAAGGCTGCATCCATACTAGATGTGGAAGTTACATTGGTGATATTCTTAAGGCATGTCCTCAATATGTCTCTTATCTTGCCATTCATGATGCCCAAGGTTGGTTTGTCCTAGTTAGATTTCTGATGTTGAGGAGCTGAATTGCCATTGCTTCTATATAGAAGCTTGCACTCACTGTGGAGTGACTTATCCTATCAGATTTCCATTACAGGCTTCTGTGGCTCGGCTACATAAAGGCTCAATACAGCCCCGCTGTTGGCAATTCTTATTTCCGCAAAAGTGTAAAAATATTATTTTTAATACTACTTAATAATATTTTAAAAGACTATTTAAAGAACTTTAAAGGGTATCTAAAATCATACCCAAAAGACACAGAAAAGGGTAAGCGTGTATGATACTGTTCCCTCTCTGTATAATTATTTTTCATTCAAGAATTTCCTGATGGGGATGTGGTTTTGTCTTCAGTGACCCTCAGAGAACATGACTTCTCCACATGATTTTGAACCTCCCCTTGAGCTTATGCAGGACATTTGTGTCTATATCATCCTCCAGCAATGACTTCCATAGGCTTCCAAGCCATTTCACAGATGTCTCATTTTGTTGTTTTGAATTCTGATACCCTGACTTGCTATGCCTTGTTCTTACTACACAGTGATGGTGAACATTTTTTCTTTCCTCTTTCTTCCTTCACTTACTTTTAGTACTATATAACCACACCTCTTGTCTTCTCATAGATGGTGAAACCAACTTCTTAGAATATCTGTGGAAAGATGAGCATCATGGTGGTGAGCTGAGCAAATTTTCAACTGTGTTTTATCAT